GGGGGGGCCGGGGGAGAACCGACGGTGCCAGAGTGGAAAGGTTGGGGAAAGGGCGGTGAGAATTTCACTGTGTTTCTCATGAGAAGGTGTGTCTTCCAGCTCTACTTCTTGCACTTGTTTGGCAGACATTGTAGGTGATGGGTGTTTTAGGCAGGAAAAAATAAGTGAAGAGCTGACCCGTAAAAATGTCACTTTGTAACTTACTGACTTTTGCTGGTAACTAGCCTTAAGATATGTCCTGGAGGTCACTTTTAAAATAATGTGGAAACAACTCATTTTCAGTTAACAGCATCTGAAAGGAATTTTTATGAACTAAACATGTTCTATTTTTAAAACTGCAAGAATAAGAATAAAAAAGAAAAACTCTGGTTCCATTCTGTGCTTTTGCCTTGATGTAGGCATAAAATCATCTCTGCCTGATGCAATTGGAGCTCCTGGCCTTTTCAACTGTTTTGCAAAGGTTACTAAAAGTCATATTGCTCACAAAGCAGTAGTCTTCATCCTGGGACTTCATAATTAGGCAGTAAAGTGGAAGAACAGGCAACATTTGGAAGAAAAGTGTCCAGTAGAGTGCTGTCCTGTTACTAGAAGAAACAGGTTGAGTAAAGGGCGTTTCCATTATTTCCAAACTGTGCTCTTGTTGAATACAAATACGTCGTGCTTCGAGTTTCTGGTTTTCTAGTTTTGTTTTCAGTTCTGAAGGCTGCAGTGTGGATGGTGACGTTTATAAGCAGCTCTGAACTTGCAGCATTTTTTTGTTCTAAGAGCCTTAGGCAAAATAAACATCCAAGATGGCATAAACTTGAAGTAAACTTGGTATCTTAGCAGTGCAGTTCCCATGCACTGCTGTCTGTCTTCAGTTGTGTGGCATGATGACTTAAAATAAATTAATAAAATCCCTATGATTGTACAAATATGGAAGTGTAGGAAAGATGATGAAAAAAATCTTTTTAGTTCTGCTTTGTTTGGTTACTGCTGACTGGGCTTGTAGGACTGCAGGTCCAAAGTCTGGACTTCTAGTTGTCTTTTTTTGTTCTTTCCTACCGGCAGTCAGTGTATAAATCGAGCCATAGGGCTAAGCTGTGTTTTAAGCAAAAGGAGATTTAGGATGCTAAGTGAAAATCCAAAATACATGCCGGTATGACTTGTCCTAATTGATTTGATGTCGTAAGAATGTGGATGTGGATGAAACGGTGTTAGAGTATTCAGCAGGAATAAGGATCACACTCAAACCTGGAAGATAGGAAGGGTGTAAAATCAGTAAATCAATTGGAAGACAAAGGGCTATATATCTCTTAGAAACTTGCATTTTACTTAAAAGTAGTTGAGAAACCGGATGTTATATATAAAATGGTAATTCTATGTAATACTGCTATATGTCTTCTCTATTTCAGAAATGTTTAAAAAAAGGAGTTTTTCCATTTCAAAAAAAGTCTGACTTGATTAAGTTTACAATAAGTTATTCTAAACAACTATAGCAGTATGATTAACCTGCTACAAAATTAATCCCAACACCAAAAATACCTATGCACATCTAGTTCCAACTATTTTTATCCTGAGAATATTTAAGTTCAGGTGCTGCTAAATGATGTAGAACATCCAGAGAACCTGTGTCTTTGGTATATGATTTATTTCCACCTGTCTTTATGAGCATTGCCCAAGCTGGTACAGGGCACCACGAAGTTGCGACTGTGAAGTAGCAAAGATGCATTCTCTGACAATGGTGTTGGTGTTTCTCTGACAATAATTTTAGTGTTACTTGGAGTTCTAAGTGGGAAGGGATTTTCTTGGGGTTTTTTTTTTGTATGGCGCCTCAGAGTTATTACTATAAAATCAATATATACTGCTTTTCACTTGGTTTGAGTTGAATTTGACTACTTCTGATGTTGTAGGACTCATATCAGGTAATTGTTGGTATAGATTGGATATTTTTGCCTATAGTGTATTAATTTATTAGGTGCTAGATACTTGCAGTTTGGGAAATTAAAGGTGATACTTTATGTAACTAAAGTTTTGAAGTGACAATGCTATTGTTGAGAAATTCACTGGGTGCTGACTCTTACTGAGGTGTAGGGGCATACACAGTTCTTAAATTGTGTTGATAAAGTCTTATCTGTAGATTGATTAAATAGGCTGCATAAGAAGCATAATAATTTCTAAATTCTTTCCCTTTTCTGTAAACAGGGTTATGTCCTTCTCTTTGAGTCAATGCTGGATTCTGTCATCTACGCAAAGGACAAGTACCTGGCAGAGGGAGGCTCAGGTTGGTATGCATAATTCTACTAATAAATTCAGCTCTAGGGGGGGAAACTAAATGAACTCGGAGACTTAGAATAAGCTATGCATGGATGAGAAAGTTGCCAGTCTAAATGAAAAATGTTTCCATTAGTGTGAGCTTCAAGGCATTAATTTACTGTATGGGTAATAGAAGAACATTAGATGGGGTATCAAGGTCTCAAGTTAATGGTGTTTTTAAGAATAGAGGGGGTTATTTATTCTTAAGTACAGTCTAAATTTTTCCTCCCTACTTCTTCCCACAGATGTGGGCATTTGTTTTCCCCTCTGGAAATCCCAGTTTCTACATAACTATGAACAGAGGAAATCAAGTTTTATTCTGTAAGATGTAATACTGTTTGAGGAAGCTACGATGAATTAGAGAAGTCGGTAGGATGTTTTCCTGGAGGAGGGAAGTTGGTGGGGAGGACATAGGTCCAAACACAAGAGGCCGCATGAAATAACTAATGGCTTTACAATGTTTCAGTTCAGCATATTTATTCTATCCTGGTGGGAACATACCCTTTTTCTTCCTGGTTGGAGGGTAGGGAAGTGACAGGACAAAAAGGTTTTGTTTTGAAGTAGAGTTCTTTTATCCTTTTAAGTAGCTTAGATAGTGTCATCTTAACCAGTGTTCAAAAGCCTGTAAATATTTATTCCTCATGTGATGCAGTTTGCCGCACGAGTTCTGCGTATCCTTTATTCCTTGCGCTTAATTCCTTTGTCAGTATTGTATTTCATATTGACCTTTTCAGTCGTAGTCATCAGTCTGGGTTTTTTTTCCCCTTTTGTGCTAACCATGCACATAGTTAGTTTCACTACACTGACTTAATGATTGGATTAATGACTATGTAACAGTGCTCGCTGCAGTGCTTCCCTTTGATTGCAGTGAGCTTTTGTGTGCTACAGAGTGCAGCAGAAAAAAGGGAAGGGTTTTTATGCAATTGTTCAACATTTGGTCACAAAGCTGAATATGCAAGCAAGAGATTACTGTTCATGTGTTTAAAATTTTTAGAAGTCACTTGAACAACATGACAGAATAAGAGCTTTTTGTTTTCGGTAATGTAGAATAGTCCAGCCAGATCTGGAACACAGTTGCGGTGTGCTCTGTATAGATACATGCTGATAATTTTACATTGCAATATAATTAAATTTGGGGACATCCCCTAAAATTGTAAGGAATTATTTTATGTTTAGCTACTACTTCCAAAGCCTTCTGAAAAGGGCCAGAAATTATTGACCTCCACTGAAACTGCGATGGTATCTTGTTCTCTATTTGTATTGTTGGTAAGTTTGCTAGTGGCTTGTGCCTCCCAAAGTTTCCTTTGAGAGACAGGGTAAGCTGGTTCTGCAGTACACTTATCCTTTGTGGTCTGAGAATGATCTTGGGCCCTTATTTGACTCTTCACACCTTCATTCTGAGGTGAAGTCTTACTGGAGAAACTCCTGAATCTGCCATAAAGCTTAATTTTCTCTCAAGCCACTTTGTACTATCGAGCCCAAGATCATTATTACAGGGACTGTTTGAAAGCTGAAAAAGGCAGTAGAAGCAGCTGTGAATTGGCCAGATCTTTCAGTGATTAAGCCGGGAATAGAATCCAAATTTTTAGATTTGTGTTCAGTCAGTCATATCGTTGTAACTTTAATTTAGCCTATTGGCATGCTGCAGTGGATTATGCCAAACTGTCTAGGGTAATGTGTACAGTATATAATAGCTTTATTTGGGAACATAAAATTCTTGCTGCCCAGGACCCATCTGTTTGTTCTTTAGAGCTGTTACTTGCTTGAGTATAGATTTTTGCATACACTTGAGTGCTGTGCACGTTGGTGAGGGGTGGCACGGGGAAGGAAGGCATCATTCAAAACATAATACTGTTTGCTTGTTCACATCAAAATCATGATGGTATTCACTTGGAATTATTTCTGTATATCTGGAGGATTGCTGCCTTACCCTTCAGCGTCCTGAAGTTTGTGAGGCATTACCAAGGGATAAAGGATTTCCCATCGTATTCTGTTCACCACGTGAGCTGTTACTAGTGACAGATGACTTCTGGGCACTGAGTCGAGAAGGACACAGATGGTCGAAACGATGAATCTGTGAGAGCACTGGGGACTATGTGCTTTTGTCCAATCGGCGTTTTGTTCATTTCACCTGTGAGAAGGAATAATTATTAAATTACAGGCTTAATCAGAAAAAAATGACAAGTCTGTCAGGATTGCACAGGGAAGTGTTGCAGGGTTGCAGAAAGAGCAGAGGATTTCCAGGGGCATCGAGGATAATGGGTGAAATGGCAAATGCAATTTTAAGCAGATGCTTTTAAACATTTACAAAACTCTACAGTGTTTAGATGATTTAGGCTGATATTTAGATAACATGCTTACATTACTAGTCAAACCAGTATAGCATATGCTTCTGGACATGGGTGGGTTTGTAAATTTGGAAGTTAATGTATCACTGTAGTCTTTTGCCTGTGCCCTGTTGGTGGAACACAGGCTTCTTTTTGTGAAGTCTGAAATGGCATTGTCTACTTTTTTGTTGCTATTGACGGGCTAAACTAAAAATGCAGATTAGATTAGAGCATTAGTGTTTACATTTTTGCTTGTTCTTAAGCACTTTGTGTGAGTTCCACTGCTGATTTAAGCATCTGCTGTGTGGATGAAGAGATTTAATAAAAACTGATTGTGGTCCCACTCAAATACTTCACACTTGATAGACGTGGTAAACTTTTTCCTGTCAACAGAATGCCCCAGAAATGTGGGCTAGTCCAAGGAAGGAAGGTTATAAAGTAGTTGATCGCTTTTTGCTGTGGTTTTCATTTTCGTTTGCGGTGTTGCTAGCACGCTCCTGTAAGTGTTTTCTATAACTAGGGACTTTCAGTCTCTTTTCACCCCTCTTCTCGCCATACCCCTTGCATCCTATGAAGAGCATTTCCCTGAAAATAGTCCCTCAAAGGCTGTAGTCACTTGCTTGTGTTGTCTGTTTCACACTGTCTTTCAATTTTTGGAGCATCAGTGGCTCTTGAAGGTTTGAAATGCTGGGAGGTAAAGCCGAATATAATGCAGTTGTCACACTAGTAAACAGCAATATGAAAGCTTCGAGAAATGGAAATCCTTTATTGATGGCTCCAGAAGCTACTTGCAAATACTCCTACCACCAGATGTTGATATTTTTGTGTGTGTGTGACAGCTGTCAGATGTGCTGGAAGCAAATGATTTGTTTCAGACAAGACGGTTTGAATGCCCTCTTTTGATTCTCATCAAACTGCCTTTTTACTGCTGAGTTAATTGTAGGCTGTTCCTGGAGAAACCACCTTCTTCAGGTTCCTCATCTGCAAAGTAGGGGTGATGATAGCTTACCGTCGGGATTCCAATTTAAGCTTGCTCATATTTATTTATTCCGTTTTAAACGGTCAGAAAGTGAGAAAAATGATTGTGTTCACATTTTGTATGAACTAGTCATTCCAAATGTAGAGATGGTTGCTTGCTTAATGTCTTCATATGAAAAAAAAAAAAGCTTCTTTAGAGAAGACTCCTTACCATTAATATGTATAAGATTATTTCCTTTAGCCTAAATCTACTCTCACTATATAAAAGGTCTAATGTCAATTTGCTGTTTCTATCTTAAGTATTTTACAAGGCAAAAAATACTGCTGTTCTGACTTACCATGCTATACCAGTGATTTCTCCATAGTCATTTTGATAAGCTACAACTTCAAGCAGAGCTGAAGACAAAATTAATTTTACAGTTCACCAGATTTTGGGGAGGAGAAGAGAAACTTAGCTTCAGTTTTAACAACACTGCCACATTCATGTATCAATAAAAAATAAAATAAAATCAGGTGTTTATTAGTAGGCATTTTGCTCTGAAGCCAGATCAAGAATTCAATGTATGTGGCTTTAAAGGCTTTAAAACTCTAAAAACGAAACATGGCAATTTCTTTGTGGAAATAAACCTAGCTAAATGTAAGTTGAGCTTCTCTTGCTATTTGATAGTGCTATAGACAGCCATGGTCATAGCAGCTGTTATTTGTGTCTTTTCCAATTGGTAGTGTATAGAGATTGCCAAGAGATTGACTGGCTTTGCTGTAGGCAGCCGTTAGAAAGGCAAATGTCAGTCTTCCACTACTATTTGGAAAAGCTGTACATAGGTACTCGTTCTGAAGATATTCTTGGGAGAAGGGAAAGCACAAATGTGAAGGTAGTGTAAGAATGATAGCTGTCATCCTAAAACTGGGGGGGGAAACAATGAGGAAGTTCTCTTCTGTCTGTTGGGTCACTTCCATACTCTTCAGATGCAGATAGAAGAGTAGTTATTCTTTTCCAGTACCCAGAAGTAATTTTTTTAGGTTGTAAGGCAAGTACCAGCCAGAGCTGGTAAGAAACAGGAATAAAACTCTCGAGTAAGAATATTTGCTCTTTTCTGGAAATAAGGTCTTTTCGCAGAGGTTTCGTGTTATTGCAAAGCCCTCACTTGAATTTTCCTTTGGGTGTCTTTGTCTACAGTTACTAAATACATTTTGGGTCAGTCTCTGTATAGAAGCCAGAATAGGATGTTCCAAATTACCTTCTTCAGACATCAAGGTTCCAGTCATTTCCTGGCGGTGGGATTCAACTACAAAGATATTTTGTCATGAACAGGAAATACTGTTACCAGAGTAGCGTGGGAAAATTAAGTTCCAATGTCTAGTCTCTTCTGTGGACAAATGGGAAATAAAGTAGCAGAAAAAGTGTCTTGCCCAAGAGCTGAAAAAAGTTTTTATTTGTTCTTTTAAGATGTTAATCACTAAAAGAGAAAAGAAAAATAAAAGTCTTCTTTATGCATGTCTAGAATAAAATTTCACTGATCTGTTTCTGTTACAGTTTACCCTGATGTTTGCACCATTAGTCTTGTAGCTGTTGGGGATATGAATAAACATGTGGACAAGCTACTCTTCTGGGAAGATGTATATGGCTTTGACATGTCTTGCATGAAGGCGGCTGTAATTCCAGAAGCTGTTGTGGAGGTGCTGGATCCAAACACACTGATATCTACAGCCAGTGTCATTAAGGTACCATACGTCTTAAATTTTTAGCAGTCAGATTAGAAGTTTCCTTTTTTTATGGAGGAGGGGAAAAAAATACACACACATGCACACACGAACTTTGGCATCTTCAAAATGATACAAATGCATTAAGGTTCTTGGTGTCAAGACTGCAAGACTTGTATTAATTGATTTTTTTACCAAGTTTGAGCTCTTAATAAAGTAATCTTCCCATATTTAGATTGTTCTGTTCTACATCTTCTTCTATCCAAACCCAAATTTACTTGCATTTTAGTAAGTTACAAGTCGCGTAACTGAAATATAAACTACACCAAAAAAACCGCTGGAATATAGAGTCTTTTCTTCTACTTTGCTTCCCTCTTCACCTCAGTCAGTGTACTGAGTTGCAGGGGGGCTTCGTATCTATTTCTGTGTCAAGCTAGCTGGCTTTAAAGAGCTTTCATTGGAGGATCACTCACTGTCACCCATAGCTACATCCAACAGAATGACCATGTCTGAAAAGGCAACAGTAGTTTCTGCAGTATTCATTGAATTAATTTTATGCGTACTTTTCTGTGTTGTCTTTTTTTATGGCAGCTTTGCAATGGGGAATAGCAGCAAAGTTGGTAGCGATTCATATGAGAGAACACCTACATGACGAGATACAATTCCAGAACACTGACTAGTTTGAAATTCTGACGAACTTTGTGATTAGTTATAATTTGAACAGTTCAGACCAAATTGAGAGAAGGACTGTTATAAACCAAGATTTTTTTTGTCACAATGGTATTCTAATTATTGTTCATATAGTTACTTTTCTATCATAAAACACTCAAGGCAGTAATATTACTGGCCTTCAGTGGGAATTGCCAGTTTAGTAAAGAGGTAATTTCTACTTAAATGCATTCCTATCCTATTTTTACATAGAAGAAAATGGGTTTACGTAATTCATCACTGAACTTGACACCATTACTGAGGGTAGTTCCAGTCTCTCCCAGCATAGAAATGACTTGCTGTGGTCAGTTGTCATCCTGCCCACAAAAGCAGTAACAGGTGAAGTACAGTTTTTTGTTGTAAGTATATCCTGATGCAAGTTACCGTTTAAGCTTTTCTTGTCTATAATTTTGTTACAGAGAAGATTTAAAAGTATTAAGTTTTTTTAAATCGGGTATTCAAATGTAAGAAGTGCTGATACTGATATTTCTTTAACTTGAATAACTACTTTGGCCTTCTTGTGCATCTCTACTTTTTTTCTCTTTTACTTCAGGATTCTTTATTTGTAGATGATGATGTCATTACAGATGTGTCTTACATTTTATTCTCTGAGCTTGTTGACTAGACGCCCTCTAGAGTCAGTGAAATAAAATTCCTAAGGACACCTATAATAAGTTGTGTGACTTGAGGCTTACAAGTGTCTGTTTTCCTTGAGTGTAAGGAGAGGGTAGAGTGATCAACTCAGTTGTTGAAGTATACTTTGTAGACCTGTCATTACAGGGAAGATAAATTCCACCCCTAGTGAATGAATGTGCACAAACCAGTTACTGAGACCAAGAATCTGAGGCTGTAATTGTTAGCCATCTGACAGGTCTGATTGCGCAACGAGTGAGGCATAGGCATTTTTCTCACCTGCCATTGTTTATAACATTTTGCATGTTCTGATTCAAGTGGAAGTGCAGTTGAATACTTCTTGCAAATAGGTCAAGTTTGGTGTACAGAAAATGAAGAACATATAACATGCTCTAAATTAACAGCTGCATGGATAAGTTGAGCTCTATCAGTTTGTTAGGCAAACAAACAAATTGAAACAACATCTGGAAAGCGTGGATAACAACAACTGTATGTATATGTGCCCAATGCAGTCTACAAGCTGCTGTCATTTTAGAAGCAAAATGCTTTACTGGTAATAGTACGTGTCCCTTTCTGATACATACTGTCATGAGCAGTCACTGTCCAGCTCAGATGTATGTGCTTAGCAAATTTTGTCATCGTGCGGCATTTCGCATAACTGTTATGCTTAATGGTTTTATACTCATTTGTTCTCAGTAGCAATCACGGTTTTTAAAATAACCTGAAATCAATGCATGAGCTCCTTTGCTGGAGTTACAGTACAAAGTAGTAAAATTATTGAGTTGAGCAACAGTGGCATAAAAGGTAAATTGTTTTAATCAATAGCCATTCCACAGAACAAATGGATTATATTTTTGAGGGAAAGCTTAAAAATGTTCCCATTTATCGTATGGTTATTACAGAAGATACTTTAGTGTGTTTGCTCAGATTAGCTGCTGCTTGTTTTGTGTAGTTTATAACGTAACTTTTCAGGCAGCAAAACATTCCCTAAAGAAAGACGAGGCAGCATCAAGAAATATTGATTAATAATGTATACGGCATTTGAATTCAGCAGTACATGACGTTCTTGGATAAAGCATTTTGAGTATGTAATGACGTTCTTGGATAAAGCATTTTAACTGAGTATGTAAACTAAAGAACTTCATACAGTGGAAAAAATGGTGCAATTTTTAAGAAGAACTGAAAACTGAAGCTTATTGCTTTTTAAAAACTCTGATTATATATATATAAAAAAATTAGAATATTGAAATGCAAGTTGCAATTTGATTTGACAGTGTTATTGTTGTTATCCTGGATGCCGTTGTTCTGTGTTAATTTCAAAGTAGTGAAGCAGTTCTCTGCCTGGTGTGCTTTTTCTCCTCTGTTGTGTCACTCTGATATTTCACATACTGATACACTGCATGGTTGTGCTGCCATTCAGAAGGACCTCCATAGGCTGGAGAAGTGGGCCAACAGAGGTCCTGTGCAAAGGGCTGGGGGCGATGCAAAATCCTGCAGCTGGGGACAGAGGAGTAACCCTCCACACCAGTAGAGGCTGGGGGCCTGCTGGCTGGAAAGCAGCTTTGCAGAAAAGAATTTGGGGGTCCTGGTCAACACCCAAGTTGACCATCAGCCAGCAGCACACACCCTTGTGGCAAAGGCAGCCAACCAGCCTCCTGGCCTGCGTTAGGAAGACGACTTGTCGCCAGCAGGTCAAGAGAGGTGAGCCTTCCTTGTACCCCAGGGAGATGACTTGTGGAGTGCTGTGCCCAGTCCTGGGCTCGCCAGTGCAAGAGTGAGATGAGTGTCCTGGAGTGAGACCAGTGAAAGACACAAAGATGGTGAAGGGACAGGAGCATCTGTGATATAGGGAGAGGCTGAAAGAGCTGGGGTTGTTTTGTCTGGAGGAGAGAAGGTTCAGGAGGGATTGTATCAGTGTGTATAAATGCCTGGTGGTGCGGGGAGTAAAGAAGGTGGAGCCAGACTCTTCTCAGTGGTGCTCAGAGGCAGGACAGGAATCAGCGGTCACAGATTGAACTCGAGGCAGTTGCCTTTAGAGATCAGGAAACGCTGTTTTGCTGTGAGGGCAATTGAACGGTGGCACAGGTTGCCCAGAGAGGTTGTGGAGTGTCCATCCTTGGAGATAGTCAAAAGCCATTTGGGCATGGTCCTGAGCAACCTGCTCTAGTTGACCTTGCTTTGAGGAGGGGGTTGGACTAAGTGATCTCCGGAGGTCCCTTTCAACCTCAAATATTCTATGATCAATATCAAAATTCTATGATCAATATGAAACTAACCTGGCAAATCAAAAAAGCCCAGTTTTAACCCATAGCAGTTTCATACTGTAGTTTACCATGTGGCTACATGAACAAGGATTAAAACAGGTGCAGGTGCCTGTGAATGTTACTTAATCTTAACAATGGGCAGCTGTCATCAAGAGCAACTTGCTTGAACAGAGTGAGCTACTATATCTAGTTCCATACCACTACTAGTCAAAGTGTCTGTTTATTTTGACGTTTGGGGAAGAGGGGGTTTTAGTGTTTTGTCAGTTTGCAGATAGGATTAGGTGGTTTTTAAGTCTCTTCCCATTTTTGGAGGGCTGAATTAGTATTGCCCTAGAAGAGTTGTCTTGTTATGGGAGCAACCGAATGACCTTCATCCAAAGGAAGATCTTAATTTAAATTCAGCACCGTTACTGACAATTGTGTTATTCCTTTCGACAGCATATCGACTGTAATACTGCATGCACTCCAGACTTAGAATTCTCTTCGGATTTCACCCTGACCATTACAACGAGCACAAAGTGTACGGTAAGACAATTTTGGTTTCTTCATATATGGTCAGTATCGCATTGGACTAATAGACAATGCATTAATGAAGCTTCATTTATCATCAGTCCTTGCCTTGAAAGTACAGAGGTGTCAAATGAGAGATTGTAAAGAGAGATGGATGTCAAACTCCAGTAATGGTGTTACGGTATAATACAGGTAGATGAGGAAAGGGAAAGACGAGGACCCTTAGCACTGGGGTTGTTCTGTTTTGTTCTCTAGCCCGTTTTCTGAAATAAGAGTTTTCTGTTCAGACATGTTGTTACCACTGGGCTCAAGAATGATGTAGTCACTCTTCTCGGAAGAGCTTTTCTGAGTTTAGTAAAAAGAACGAAAAACAAAATAGATATGGGAAAGGTAGGCTATAGCTCATGTAATAAACATGTAGCAGCTCATATGGCAAACACAGTTTCTCAAACAGGGAAGTTGATGAACTTTACGTGTGAAGACTGAGGGGGAACAAATACAGCATTAGAATCTGAATCTGATAACCAGGGTTTTTACTGCATCTGTTTTATTGTATGCAAGTTAGTATTTTTACTTTACGTAAGTTAATATGACTTATATCCGAAAGAACACTAATTCTAGAAAGGCTGCTGACTTTGATTGGAGGGGTGTTATAATTACAGCAAACACAAGCTTATTCATCTTAGTATTACAGACTATGCTGTGTTAAATTGAGTGAAGAATTTCCAGCAAATCTGAGTCTGTGATCTCACTCAATTGAGTATTATTTGTCTACCAAACGCTAGTCAATATCAAAAGAAAGAAAAATGGGGAAAAAAAGTTTTCAGTCTGATCTTTAGAATTAAATGAAAAGTCAGTACTAGGGCTTCTTTCAAACACTTCTTTGAAGTTGTGCCTACATTGTTCAGTATGAATTTACATAAATACACGTTCATTTTGCGGCTTTTTTCTTGGTCATTCAGTATCTGGTAGTTATGAGAAAACAGAGAGAAACACTGATTTTTGGATTAATGAAAAATGTCCCCTATTTTTTTTCTGCAAGGGCCCACGCAATTTATGTTTTGTGATCCATTTTTGAAATATAAGTCAAGGAAGATACCTAAATATTTTTATTTAACGTACCTCATGTAAGGGTGTGAGTGACTTCTGAAAAAAAGATGTTATGCATGTATTTAAAGCTAAAACAAATAGGTATTCCGACATGAATATTTAGAAGTGTTTAGATTGGTACCTATGTGAGGATACCTTTTTGATTTGACTTAGTTATGATGCACAGCTTGCTTTCTTTGTTGGGATGGGGAGAAGAGAATCAAATAGAAGTCTTTTTGTAGTGTTGTTATTAGGCAGAGCAGTTGGGATAAAGATGAGGTACAGATGAGAGAGTCTGGTGGTGGCTTAGATTAAAGTAATGCATTGAGATTTTAAACACTAAATGATAAGCAAAGGCAGGGTGACCTAACTCTTACAGATTTTATGATTGCGGTAATACGCTTTTACATTCAACATCAATTACAAATGCTTTCTACCAATTTATTAAAATATCCTCATCAAATTTGACAAAAGTTTGTATTAGGTTCTGAGATCTGTAGTAAAAACTAAAATTTTTGTAGTCTAGTGTATTGTGATACTTCTGCTAGGAGTTTCATGCTTAGCTTTAAGTCACGGCACATCACAGAATCAAGTCCAAAGGGGTAATTGGTAGCTAATTTTTAATACATTGTGATAAGTCTGCTACAACTGGTTTATTTGGCTTTCGCATGTGTATATGAAGAAGAGACGTAGGCTTCCTCTGATAAGGACACAAAGAATATGTTGCTGTATAATGTAAATGTTTAAGCTGATAACAAAATCTTGGATATCTATGTCAAGCAACGTAATACCTGGTTTTGGATGGGTCTGCGTGTTAGTTCATGCTGATGCTTTTGCCGCCACTTTTGCTGTATAACAAGATGCGTAAGAATTTGTTGGTGTTTATAAAGTGAAGTTTTCCCATGTATATAATTTAAAGTATTGCTATTAGTGTGAGTTAGTAGCTATGTACAGATATTTCATAATTATTTGTCAGTTATCACCAAGTAAAGATAGCGTAACCTCTTGTTTTTTATTAAATGGAAATCTATGTATTTTATTGTGCATTCACAAAAAAATCTTCTGTTTCTAGTTGTCATAGAACCATAGAATAATTCTAGTTGCCTCAGGGCAGGGTCAGCTTTGATTTCAGACCAAGCTCCAGTGCAGCCCTGGGTTAATTTTCTTTATGTGGCCACTTTTGAATAACTGCTTAGTTAAAAAGAAATCTTTACAAAACCTTGGTGATCTTTTTGATGTTTGGGTAAAATAGCTTATTTTGTAAAGATCGTTTTCCCTAGCACTAGACCATTAAGAAAACTTCATTTCTGTTCTATGATTCTATGGTATCATTGACTTATAAATCAAGATGTACACCTGCATTTTATGACTTCCAGGGAGAAGGGGAGGGAAGTGGGGGAAGAGCAGTGTTTCTGAAATTTTGCAGAGAATGCAGGTTCTAAAAAATGATCAGAACTCTGTAAAGTATTTTGCACTTCATCATTTAGGTTTATTGACACTTTGAGTGAAATTTCCATTCTTTCTGTGATGGATTGTAGAAGTTTAGTTGGGGGTTGACAGTTCATCCATCATATCAGGCTGCCTAACCTTGCAGTAAATGAACAATGAAAGTCCATTATTTATCTTGAGAATTTTTGAGGAGATGCTTTAAGATTGCAGTTTATCCTTTGAAAATAACATTTGATGTTTTTCTTGTTTGCATCCGTGTTTTGTTGTTCTACTGGCTTTTCATCTTTTGCACAAAAAGAGAAAGCTGCAAATATTTCCCAAAATTCTAGCTTTTTGTACTTGTCTGTTCTGATTTTTGCATTTTTTTAAATATGAACATTTTAAAATATTTTTGCTTTATTAAAAAAAAAACCTCACAAAAATAACAATTTGGAAATCCATTGCTTATATGCTTGTATATATCAAGGTTTTTTAGCTCACAACCTAAATTTCGTTTCAAAGCAGCTTTTTTTCAGCCCCTTCTTTGCCCTAAAATTGTGAAAACAGATTTGGTTGTCTTATTCCTAGTGTTGCCATCAACAGCAAAGCTAACTTAGGCCAGTGTTACCATCAGAACTTGGACTCCCTCTGTTAAGTGGTCTGTCTTTAAAAACCAAACAAGTGGAAACCTTAGGTGCACAGTGGTATATTCGTTGTTTCGTGGATCCTATTGCAGGTCACCTACTAGTTTGCACTGTGTCATTGGGTTGTGGGGAGTGGGTTTCCACGCTGCTGCTTTCCATGGCACTGTGTGGGTGCAGAGGAGTATACGATAGACATTCTTATATGGAAATGTGTCAGCAGCATGGAATGCATAGTTGCTGTTGCTGAACTTGTTTTTGCAGAAGCTTAGCACTGATGGGAAGTAATTCAGCAAGTACTCGGAGAAAAGAGTTGTGGCCTCGTCTAGTTGGAGTACGCAACGTAATGTTAATTGTTGAAGAGCTAAACTTTCAGCTGACAACTCTGGAGACATTAGCCGTGTTGGGGTCTGTTGCTTCCTCCCATCAACCTGTTTGCGTGTCTGTGGTAACAGGACAGTAAGGTGTAAAAGCTGACGGGAATCAGAGCCATAATGCAGTCTTTTTACCAACTCATTACCACGTTTGCTTTGATTATGACTTGGAACACCCCCAGGGCCCCTCAGGCAGGAGAGGCTGCACTTCTCATTTCTGTGGCAAGATGTTAAATACCTCTAAAATCTGACCTTAGTTTTTCCTCAGTCTCTTCCCCCCCCCCCCTTAACAGATACTGTTTGAAATTCTGTGTTTAATTTCAGTCTCAACAGAGAAGTTGACCTCTTCTTGATTTCCCCATACTTTATTTCTGTTCTTGTAAATTGTTCTGGTAAACACTTCCAGGAGGGTTTCATAAAGGCTGCAGGAAAGCTTCACCTAGAAGAGAGTTAGGAACAGAGCTCTTTTTTCCTGTTCTTTGGCTGGAGGGAGCACAGGAAGATTAGCCTCTCAAGCCTAATGCAAACCTTTAGGACTTGCCATCCACCTCTTTCTCATCCTTTGATTTCATTTTTTTTTCCTCCATTTTGCTTTGTCACTTTTTAGTACAGACCTTTTACTTCCTGAAAACTGATAATGCAAGTGCTGAAAGAGATGTTTCTCTTTTTTCTAGATATTATCAGTGTTCTTGCTCTTGGAAGGCCTTCTTGCTGACCTCTTGGCTAATTATCTGGTTGTATGATAGTGCCACTTAATTGTACTAGAGGTTGTTTGAAAACTGCAATTCAGGAGGCAATAGGCTAACAGTTTTCTGTTTTTTTAGATAAATGGACTAAGGACATAAATGCCCAGACCTAGTGATGAGCTCGTGCGAAATAGAAAAACTATGCAGTTCCCAAAACCTAAGAGCGTAGTATTAATTGACACATACCTGATTTGTCTGTCCTTCCACCTATAAATTATTTTAAATTACTCTCATACTTCTGTATGACCGAAAAAAAAAAACAAACCCAAAAAAAACCAAAACCCAAACCCCAAACCCTAGCAGGGTCTTAAGTCATGCTGGTAACAGATCAGCCTGAGGTCTCTCTGTAGGTGCATCCTAAGTGTATTGCAGATGATCCTGTAATGCATTTAGAGTCGTATACTTAAAAAAAAGCTTAATGCTCTAAATAGGTTTTTCTTCCAGGTGTTCAAGCAATTAAATAAGCCTTCAGGAAAAAAATTGCTAATAATCCTGAGAAATATGGAAAGATTGAGCAAAAATAAACACTTTAAATGTGACCTTGTATGTGGTGCTTAGTCCTAAGTTATTGGCGGGGGGGTTCAAGGCTTTTTTCAGAGCGTGTATTCTTTCTGTTAATTTTTCTTTTATTCCCCCTGTGGTTTACCACAAAGTAGTCTCTTTTAGCATTAAGTTTATTTATCATTATTTTAGCTTTCAAAGATTGAAGATTTTCAAAGCATGAAACGGTTGCATGG